AGCTTAATGGAATCCCTTTAATGATGAGGGGCTATAGTGATTATGTACAGCTTGAATCACTTAAGAATATGGTGGATATCCTTTCACCAACCGTGTAGAGTCAGGTGGATAACCTCTGACCAGCAGTATAGAGTCAGGTGGATAACCTCTCACCAGCAGTATAGAGTCAGGTGGATAACCTCTGACCAGCAGTATAGAGTCAGGTGGATAACACTCACCAGCAGTATAGAGTCAGGTGGATAACTTCTCCCATGTCGAGCAGAGTCAGGTGGATGAGCTATTCAGTCATTCACAAAAGAAAATAGCTCGGCAAATGACAAATGAATAATGCAACACTCAGTTGGATGCAACATTATGCAATGCAAAGGATTCTGAATACATTAGTGAAGCCTAAACTGAAGCTTCGTTAGTGAAGCCTAAACTGAAGCTTCGTTAGTGAAGCCTAAACTGAAGCTTCGTTAGTGAAGCCTAAACTGAAGCTTCGTTAGCGAAGCCTAAACTGAAGCTTCGTTAGTGAAGCCTAAACTGAAGCTGCGTTAGCGAAGCCTAAGCTCAATTAGGGTAAACCTAAACTGAAGCTATGTGAAGAATCCCAATTCATCCGCGAATACATTAGGGAAGCCTAAACTGAAGCTTCGTTAGTGAAGCCTAAACTGAAGCTTCGTTAGCGAAGCCTAAACTGAAGCTTCGTTAGTGAAGCCTAAACTGAAGCTGCGTTAGCGAAGCCTAAGCTTAATTAGGGTAAACCTAAACTGAAGCTATGTGAAGAATCCCAATTCATCCGCGAATACATTAGGGAAGCCTAAACTGAAGCTTCGTTAGCGAAGCTGAAGCTCAATTAGGGTAAACCTAAGCTGAAGCTATGTGAAGAATCCCAATTCACCCGCGAGGCGCTAAACACAATCAATCAATCAATCAATCAATCAATCAAATGTGGAAAAACAGTCTTACGACTAACGCTTAAATCGATCTATTCAAGGCAGGTTTTTTCATGAAATATAAATTCAAACTATTCAGGGTAGTTTCTTCATTATTTATACATTCATTATAAATCAAAGAGAATGTATGAAATGTGTATAAACGAAGACGCAAATTGTCTGAAATATATATATTCTCCAGGGTAAATATTTCCCTCCTATAAAACCACTTGAAAATCACTAGCAATAAATGCTTACTAGAACGTAACTATATTTGCGAATTTCCATATATTATCTCTTGTAAAATAGGCGAGCCACTGTGTCCAGGAATATGAGTGTCTAGGGATACGAGCGTCTAGGGATACGAGCGTCCAGGAATACGAGCGTCCAGGAATACGAGCGTCCAGGAATACGAGCGTCCAGGAATACGAGCGTCCAGGAATACGAGTGTCCAGGAATACGAGCGTCCAGGAATACGAGCGTCCAGGAATACGAGCGTCCAGGAATATGAGTGTCCAGGAATACGAGTGTCCAGGAATACGAGTGTCCAGGAATACGAGTGTCCAGGAATACGAGTGTCCAGGAATACTTGTGTCCAGGAATATGAGTGTCCAGGAATACGAGTGTCCAGGAATACGTGTGTCCAGGAATATGAGTGTCTAGGAATACGAGTGTCCAGGAATACGAGTGTCCAGGAATACGAGTGTCCAGGAATACGAGTGTCCAGGAATACGAGTGTCCAGGAATACGAGTGTCCAGGAATATGAGTGTCCAGGAATACGAGTGTCCAGGAATACGAGTGTCCAGGAATACGAGTGTCCAGGAATACGAGTGTCCAGGAATATGAGCATCCAGGAATACGAGTGTCCAGGAATACGAGTGTCCAGGAATATGACGAGAGAAAATTTAATTAGGGCGAAAAATCAATTACTGCTAACTGCAGTAACCTAACCTGCAAATAATAGCTTCATTGCAAATCATGCAATGAAGCTATTATTTGCAATTATTAAAACTCTTGACAAATGATTTAGAGAAGCAGCTGAAATGAGGTGATTAACTTGAATAAATGAGCTATAACTTGACATACATAATCTTATCCAAAAAGTTCATTACCACAATAATTTAAAATATTCATAATTCTAGAATTTAATCCATAGGTGATACATTGAGTTTACCTGTGGCCGGTTTTAAGAGTTCTTCAACTCCTGCAGCCCGGGCGGGGGTCGACAGGCTTGCCATCACAACCCGGCTGATCCAACACTTCCCACAGGATATCTAATTCCCTCTTGAAAACTTTAACCTTTTCCCAATCTTCTGTGTTTGAAGGACGAAGAGCCGTGACCTCTGATGCTCATTCAGGCTGCTCTGTGTCTGGAGTTTACCTTGAGAGGGTTTCGAGAGTAGTTCTTATTCTCCCTCCGAAGATCGAGAAGACGGGCAGGGTGTCACAGTTTGCTTGAAGAACAATAAAGTCCTTGAGTTTACTTTAAATCCCATCAAACCTGCTGCAGGTCAGAGTTCAATCCCTGACCGTCCAAGTTGTTGGGCACCATTCCTTCCCACCCCTCCCTTCCCCTTGTCCCATCCCAAATCCTTATCCTGACCCCTTCCCAGTGCTACATAGTCGTAATTGGCTTAGCGCTTTCCCCCTGATAGTTCACTTCCCCCTGTGGTCATGTGGTAACTCTGAGAATTGTCTTCCTTCCCGTCATCGAGGAAGTCTAATCCCCCTTCGTCTTTGGATTCACCATAAAGTCAAACTGTCCAAATTTACAATCACACCAGCAGTGAGTACAAATTAAAGCCTAAAGTAATCCTCATCTAATCAGGAATAATCCGGACGGTAATCTTCAATACTGGATTTATTCCATTGTGTAGTAAATCCAAATGACAATCTCTCCAATCAAGGATTAAAATAAATCTTAAATGTCAAGCTTCATACAGTCTGGAATCATCAAACCAATTCGTTTTCCAGGCGAGCTTTGCAATATTTTTTCTCTTTCCAGGTTCACATAATCCAGCACAAGAGAGAGAGAGAGAAGGGGGAGGGGTAAAATCAAGTGTTGAAGCTGGTAGTGGACTGGAACCTGGAACCGTGTCATTTGAGGCTGGTAGTGGACTGGAACCTGGAACCATGTCATTTGAGGCTGGTAGTGGACTGGAACCTGGAACCGTGTCATTTGAAGCTGGTAGTGGACTGGAACCTGGAACCGTGTCATTTGAAGCTGGTAGTGGACTGGAACCTGGAACCGTGTCATTTGAAGCTGATAGTCGACTCGCTTGTCTATTATTGGCCGCCTGGAAAACACAGTTCACTACTGATGTCGATGGTCAAGACTGCTGCTTCATTCCAGAATAAACGAAGAGGTTCATCGTTTTAATAAACGAAGTAGTTCATCGTTTTAATAAACAAAGAGGTTCATTGTTTTAATAAACGAAGAGGTTCGTCGTTTTAATAAACGAAGAAGTTCGTCGTTTTAATAAACGAAGAGGTTCATCGTTTTAATAAACGAAGAGGTTCATCGTTTTAATAAACGAAGAAGTTCATCGTTTTAATAAACGAAGAGGTTCATCGTTTTAATAAACGAAGAGGTTCATCGTTTTAATAAACGAAGAAGTTCATCGTTTTAATAAACGAAGAGGTTCATCGTTTTATTAAACGAAGTAGTTCATCATTTTAATAAACGAAGTAGTTCATCGTTTTAATAAACGAAGTAGTTCATCGTTTTAATAAACGAAGAAGTTCATCGTTTTAATAAACGAAGAAGTTCATCGTTTTAATAAACGAAGAAGTTCATCGTTTTAATAAACGAAGAAGTTCTTCGCTTATTCCTGAAACGAATGAAGACTTTAATATTGCTAAGGACTGACGTTTAGTCTACATCATACAAGGCTTAATGTTCAGACTGTCAAAAGACTGACACTACGTATTGTCTGAATGATTTAATAGATCATTTACGATAGAAGTTCGATTCCCGATACTTATGATCGATTCACTTAAATTTCAGACGGAACATTCAAATTTTTGACATTACAAAATATTACACAGGTAGTGTACCACTCTTCCTGTAAATCAAAATCCCCATTCCAAATTGGCCATTCTTGCAACTGACAAACTGGTAGATTGGTCTGGGCTAATCTGATTGACAACTGGAAATCAAACGACTCAACAATTCCAGAATGCCAACTTGAGGATGTGGAACTATGTGGATATTCCAGACTGACAAGTGGGCAAAAATACTCCCTATTCCAGTCTTACTCCAGGATACTTACTTACTCCATACATCCTTATTCCAGGATGATCAAAGAGTATATACCACTCCAGAGGTTTGGAAAAATCTAAAGGCTGTCATTACAGGCTGAAGCCTGAGAGCCGAGAGTCCTATTGCTTGACCATTCCTCTAGCGCTCTAATGACGATTGACAATGATGCTATACACATACTTCATCTATTATGCTCTTGGGATGCTCTCGGACGTAGGTTCGAATCCCCGTCACGGCCCTTATGGATTTGTTCATAATTCATCTATTTTTCTTGTTTTCGGGGAGGGGGGGGGGTAAGTTTACAATCTCAAATTTGACTCCCTCAACACGGAAAATGCAAACTGGAGGGGATAAGGCTCTGTGACTAGAGGAAATACATGGGGTTTTGCCTGAAGTATAACACTTAAAAGTTTACCTACTATTCCTTAGGAAAAATAGCAGATAGTGAGTGAGTGGAGATCATTACTCAACTCCCGACTGACAATCGCCAGACCTAAAATTTCAACAACACCAAACTGATAAAGACCTCTGCAAGACCAAGCCACTGATCGAAACTGCCACCTGTAAGATCCACCACAATCTTCCACACCGGAAGATGGGAAACCCGCCCTCGTCACCCGGGACATTAGAGGAGACATTTGTCTGCTTCTCAACCTCCCCCCCCCTACCTCCTCTCCTCCCTACCCAGGAGGAGACCGTGGCTTCACCGCCCCGGGGAAACTCTCCCAATTACAACCTAATGTTCCAGGTCGACTCTAACCCAACTCTGATTATTCTCCATTTACAAGAGTTTCTCCCGAGACGAGTAAACCAACCCCAGCTATAACTCCCAGCCCTTGCCAGGTTGCTCACGCTCCTGAAAAATACCGAGGTCTGGGAAGCGTGGAACGGGGTCTGGGGAAGCGTGGAACGGGGTCTGGGGAAGCGTGGAACGGGGTCTGGGAAGCGTGGAACGGGGTCTGGGGAAGCGTGGAACGGGGTCTGGGGAAGCGTGGAACGGGGTCTGGGGAAGCGTGGAACGGGGTCTGGGGAAGCGTGGAACGGGGTCTGGGAAGCGTGGAACGGGGTCTGGGGAAGCGTGGAACGGGGTCTGGGGAAGCGTGGAACGGGGTCTGGGGAAGCGTGGAACGGGGTCTGGGGAAGCGTGGAACGGGGTCTGGGGAAGCGTGGAACGGGGTCTGGGGAAGCGTGGAACGGGGTCTGGGGAAGCGTGGAACGGGGTCTGGGGAAGCGTGGAACGGGGTCTGGGGAAGCGTGGAACGGGGTCTGGGGAAGCGTGGAACGGGGTCTGGGAAGCGTGGAACGGGGTCTGGGGAAGCGTGGAACGGGGTCTGGGGAAGCGTGGAACGGGGTCTGGGGAAGCGTGGAACGGGGTCTGGGGAAGCGTGGAACGGGGTCTGGGGAAGCGTGGAACGGGGTCTGGGGAAGCGTGGAACGGGGTCTGGGGAAGCGTGGAACGGGGTCTGGGGAAGCGTGGAACGGGGTCTGGGGAAGCGTGGAACGGGGTCTGGGAAGCGTGGAACGGGGTCTGGGAAAGCGTGGAACGGGGTCTGGGGAAGCGTGGAACGGGGTCTGGGGAAGCGTGGAACGGGGTCTGGGGAAGCGTGGAACGGGGTCTGGGGAAGCGTGGAACGGGGTCTGGGGAAGCGTGGAACGGGGTCTGGGGAAGCGTGGAACGGGGTCTGGGGAAGCGTGGAACGGGGTCTGGGGAAGCGTGGAACGGGGTCTGGGAAGCGTGGAACGGGGTCTGGGAAAGCGTGGAACGGGGTCTGGGGAAGCGTGGAACGGGGTCTGGGGAAGCGTGGAACGGGGTCTGGGGAAGCGTGGAACGGGGTCTGGGGAAGCGTGGAACGGGGTCTGGGAAGCGTGGAACGGGGTCTGGGGAAGCGTGGAACGGGGTCTGGGGAAGCGTGGAACGGGGTCTGGGGAAGCGTGGAACGGGGTCTGGGGAAGCGTGGAACGGGGTCTGGGGAAGCGTGGAACGGGGTCTGGGGAAGCGTGGAACGGGGTCTGGGGAAGCGTGGAACGGGGTCTGGGGAAGCGTGGAACGGGGTCTGGGAAGCGTGGAACGGGGTCTGGGAAAGCGTGGAACGGGGTCTGGGGAAGCGTGGAACGGGGTCTGGGGAAGCGTGGAACGGGGTCTGGGGAAGCGTGGAACGGGGTCTGGGGAAGCGTGGAACGGGGTCTGGGGAAGCGTGGAACGGGGTCTGGGGAAGCGTGGAACGGGGTCTGGGGAAGCGTGGAACGGGGTCTGGGAAGCGTGGAACGGGGTCTGGGGAAGCGTGGAACGGGGTCTGGGGAAGCGTGGAACGGGGTCTGGGAAGCGTGGAACGGGGTCTGGGAAGCGTGGAACGGGGTCTGGCTTACGAGGAAAGGCTGCGAGAAATGCACCTCACGACACTGGAAGACAGAAGTATAAGGGGGAGACGTGATCACTACCTACAAAATTCTCAGAGGAATTGACAAGGTAGATAAGGATAAACTGTTCAACATGAGTGTTACGCGAACAAGGGGGGGACAGGTGGAAACTGAGTATACCACATGAGCCACAGGGACGTTAGAAAGAACTTTTTCACTGTCAGTAGTTAACAGATAGAATGCATTAGGCAGTGATGTGGTGGAGGCTGACTCCATACACAGTTTCAAATGCTAGAAATCTATCATATTTCTATCAAATATGATAGAGCCCAGTAGGCTCAGGAATCTGTACACCAGTTGACAGTTGAATGGCGGGACCAAAGAGCCAAAGCTGAACCCCCGCGAGTACAACTAGGCGAGTACAACTAGGCGAGTCCACACACACACACACACACACACACACACACACACACACACACACACACACACACACACACACTGCATTAAGAAAATACATCAAACATTCAAGCGCGCGCACGCACATGCGCACAAGAAAATTAAGATTTAAAATCCATCTTACCCGGCAGAAGCTAGACGCCTCAGGTAATAAAAGGTAATTAAACTTAGTCGGGGTTATTACCAACTCTTAGTCTTATCTTGCCTCAACTTTAAGTCTTATCTCCCCCCCTCCATCTCCTTCCCCCCCCCTCTCCCCATCTCACAATCCAGTTGTTTATCTTCCCATTCCAGCTGTTTCACTTCAAATTCCAGCTGTTCAACGTCTCATGACCTATCGACTCCTTATCAGTCTTCCTCCTTATCTTCGTCTTTAGTAGTTCCTCCTCCTCCTCTTCGCATCCTATAACAACCTTATCTTCCCAATTATAATTATCGCCTTTCATCGCAAGCTCATTAACTCCTCATTACAGTCTATGGTAATTTATTAACATTACTTAATTATCAGCTTTATTGAATGGTGATTAAAGCACACAACAGATGATGAGACGGCGACGTTTCGGTCCGTCGTGGCGCATTATCAAGTCGATTGTGATTGACACAATCTATCGGATAGTGATCGTATCTTCGTATGACAATCATGTCTTCTGTAACGTTGTTGTGACGCGTCGTCAACTTTATTGGTCGTCAGCCGTCAGCGACGTATTTTACTGAATGTCAGCCGTCAGCGACGTATTTTACTGAATGTCAGCCGTCAGCGACGTATTTTACTGAACTTCAGCCGTCAGCGACGTATTTTACTGAACGTCAGCCGTCAGCGACGTATTTTACTGAACGTCAGCCGTCAGCGACGTATTTTACTGAACGTCAACCGGCAGCGACGTATTTTACTGAACTTCAGCCGTCAGCGACGTATTTTACTGAACGTCAGCCGTCAGCGACGTATTTTACTGAACGTCAGCCGTCAGCGACGTATTTTACTGAACGTCAGCCGTCAGCGACGTATTTTACTGAACGTCAGCCGTCAGCGATGTATTTTACTGAACGTCAGCCGTCAGCGACGTATTTTACTGAACGTCAGCCGTCAGCGACGTATTTTACTGAACGTCAGCCGTCAGCGCTTCACAGACCTTCGCCAACAGCCTCACCTGGACATCTTAGTGACGTCAGCACTAATATTTTTGCTGTTTAAATTTGCACAATTAAATTTTTTTTCTGGAAAATGAACACAAAATGAGCCCGAAAGGCTGTTTCGTGCTGATTAAGAACAAGGATAACAAATTTGTTAACGAGCCCAAAGAGTGAACAAAGTCTTAATGCGAACTACCCACTATGAAAAGCTCAGTTCCCCAAGTGCACTGTGCTGTCTCCAGCACTTTTCCTCGTTCTCAAAGCGGACATAGACCAGGGGTTAAGATCCACGAAGCAGTTACGCAAGTACTTACGAACGTGGGCTATCCTTCCGCGATCTTTGACGGCTTTGGTTACCTTTATTAAACAGTTTACAAGCATGAAAACTTGCCAAACAACTGTTGACATTGTTATATACAGTCTCCTGGTGCTTCGGTGTTCATTAATTGTTTATAACTGTAAACAATGCCGGCGAAGATTGAGACAAGATGAACAGGTTCATGCTTGCGTAACTGCTTCGTGAATCTGGTCGCAGGACACAAATTACGAGTAGACAATATAGAGGGACAGAGGTAACCTGCAAACTGATATTGACAAGGTATTGCAATGGCCCACAGCAAACACCACGATGCTCAATCAGGAGAAGTTATACCTTATCTGCAATAGTAAAGACGAAGAAATCAAGCTGGAGCCACAAACAAAATGACTGACTGAACTGGACTGGACTGGACTGGACTGGACTGACCTGACCTGACCTGACCTGACCTGACCGACCGTGCGTTCGTTCGTGCGTTCGTTCGTTCGTTCGTTCGTCCGTCCGTTCGTCCGTCCGTCCGTCCGTCCGTCCGTCCGTCTCTCTCCCGCTCCCTGCACTCAATCTCCCTTGAGTAGACGAGTGCGTCGAGTGCCAGTGTCCCTCGGGTTTAATAATCACCCTGTACTGACGGCCAGCTCTCAGACTCCCATATAACGGATCCTCCTCTTCACACCCATACACACACCCCCATACCTCAGCCCGAAACCTCTCTCACTCTCACTCTCACTCTCACTCTGCTTTAGTTTCCCCTCTGACAGCTCATGGAACATGCTTCTAAATGTCTATAAGGTTCAGAGACAAGACCTGAGCTGTGTGTACAGCCCAAATGAGAGCAGCCAGCAATCACTGGAAGAACGAAGCTATAGAGCGATAATGCACAAGAATACCCAAAGTCCGAATGATGGGAAATAGAACTGACAAAACCACTCTACGCCAGAATAAAAAAAAATACAAATTCTCGAAGGAATTCGAAACAGAATTTCACAAAATCCTGAACCGCGCCAGGAACTGATATCCTCCTTACACAGAAGGCCGAACAGGCAAGAATAACAGAGTAAGAATAGGCAAGAACACACAGGACCACAGGACCCACAGGCCGGGACCAAAGAGCCAAAGCTCAACCCCCGCAAGCACAATTAGGTGAGTACAGGCCGCGGGGCCGTCAATCCCCAATACTAACGTTAAGATAAATACACGCAAGGTATAAGGTATACCTTATACCCCCCGCGGTATATCCATCGTACCGACACGTCCATTCCTCGTCCTACCCCGTCTCAAGAGCACACGTTGAGTCATGTCAATTTCCGTTTCAACCCGGACTGATTAATGACCGATGGAGATTGATTGCCTGCACGAGCCAGAGCTCTTCAATACAAGCGTCGCTGCTCCTCCTCCACGCCGTTGCAGTACCAACACACGCGATATCCAACCGCTGATACACTGGGAGGAACTGATATCGTAATCTTGTCAAAAGTAAATATTGCCGTGATGGGAGTGATGGTGATATTTTTTTTTTGGGGGGGGGGGAATGGTGATTGTGAGAGATTTATGTGACGATGGTGAGTAGATGGTGGCAGTGGTGGTGAGTAGATGGTGCCAGTGGTGGTGAGTAGATAGTGGCAATGGTAGTGAGTAGATGGCATCAGAGAATAGGCAATGCTGTAAATCAGATCAAAATACTGATTTTCCACCATGATTTTTTTGAGCTTGGAGAACTGATGGGTGAAGGGCGAGAGGGAGGGGGAATTATCAGGGGGAAAGCGCTATGTCATTTCGACTATATAGCACTTGGAAGAGGTCAGGATATCATTAGGGACGGGACGCAGTGGAAAGGAATGGTGCCCAACCACTTTGGACAGTCGGGGGATTGAACGCCGACCTGCATGAAGCAAGACCGTTGCTCTACCGTCCAGCTCAAGTGGTTGGGCACTCATGTTCGCCCAAGGAGCGCGAAAATGGCTGAGTAACAAACCAGTTAGAAAGGAGGTAAAAAGTGGAGACAATGTCAGGTTGTTAGGGGGGGATGGGTTGTGGAGAGGGGTGAGAGGGAGGGGGAGGGGGGGTGAGAGGGAAGGGGGAGGGGTGAGAGGGAGGGGAGAGGGGTGAGAGGGAGGGGGGGGAGGGGGAAGAAGGGGGAGGGGTGAGAGGGAAGGGGGAGGGGTGAGGGAGGGAAGGGGGAGGGGTGAGAGGGAAGGGGAGAGGGTGAGAGGGAGGGGGGAGGGTGAGAGGGAGGGGAGAGGGAGGGAGGGGAGGGAGGGAGGGGAGGGGGAGAGGGGTGAGAGGGAGGGAAGAGGGAGGGGAGAGGGGTGAGAGGGAGGGGAGAGGGGTGAGAGGGAGGGGAGAGGGGAGGGAGGGGAGAGGGATGAGAGGGAGGGAAGAGGAGGGGAGAGGGGTGAGAGGGAGGGGAGAGGGGTGAGAGGGAGGGGAGAGGGAGGGAGGGGAGAGGGGTGAGAGGGAGGGAGAGGGAGGGAGGGGAGAGGGAGGGAGGGGAGAGGGGTGAGAGGGAGGGAGGGGAGAGGGGTGAGAGGGAGGGGAGAGGGGTGAGAGGGAGGGAGGGGAGAGGGGTGAGAGGGAGGGAGGGGAGAGGGGTGGAGAGGGAGGGAGGGGAGAGGGGTGAGAGGGAGTGGGGGGGGTGAGTGGAGCCAAAAACAAGGCGGACAGCCCGCCTGCTTTCATACCTCTCACTGTATTTCCCACTTCTATACTTCCCTTCACCTATGCCTCTCCTTCCTCTTTACTAAAAAAAAAAAAAAGGGAGGTGAGGGGAAATAATATTTCAAACTCAACCCATACTCCACTCTTAAGAGAGTACCACACACTGTCTTAATAAACACTATTAGAATAATATATCTCTCGTCACATATAGATGCTCTCGGACGTGAGTTCGAATCCTCGTCACGGACCCTTGTGGATTTACCTGGTTAATACCTGGTTGATGGGGTTCTGGGAGTTCTTCTACTCCCCAAGCCCGGCCCGAGGCCAGGCTCGACTTGTGAGAGTTTGGTCCACCAGGCTTTGCTTGGAGCGGCCCGCAGGCCACATACCCACCACAGCCCGGTTGGTCCGGCACTCCTTGGAGGAATAAATCTAGTTTCCTCTTGAAGATGTCCACGGTTGTTCCGGCAATATTTCTTATGCTTGCTGGGAGGACGTTGAACAACCGCGGACCTCTGATGTTTATACAGTGTTCTCGGATCTGTTTAATATCTCTCGTTTAAATGAAGTTCAGGCTACCCAACCTCTTATTTTCCCTTGTCCTTGTCCTTGTCTCTTATTTTCCCTTGCCTATCCTCCTATAATGACACAACCTACAGCAACCATTTCGTCAAACGTACATAAATGAACTGTTGGAACCCTCCACCCTAAAAAAAAAAAATAAATAACGATTTAGTACTATTGAATTAGCTAAATAACGAATCTTAACCTGTTCAAGACCTAAGTAAGCAATCCTATGCCTAATCTACGCTAAACTAGGCCTAATTTAGTAGATTGGTTTGATATGCTAGGCCTGTTTTTTTTTTTTTTTTTTTTTTTGGGGGGGGGGGGGGATGTAATTTTGTACCATTTACAAGAGCCATTTACAAAGTTAATAGTACATAACTTGAATTTTGTGATCTGAAACAGTCCATTTTTTGAACGTTCGACCAAATAGTGGTTACAAGCACAACCTATAATGGAGGGAGAGTTGTTAATAAGTAGTTCCTGTGTTGTTGTCGTTTTTTTTGTCATCACATAGCGCAGGAGCTGAAAGTTGTCTGCTCTCAACCTCTTGGTGTTTTCTGCGACCCATTTAAGATCTAGTTTAAGATCTGGCCCACAAGGTAGGTAGGCAAATAGGTAGGTAGGTAGGTAGGTAGGTAGGTAGGTAGGTAGGTAGGTAGGTAGGTAGGTAGGTAGGCAGGCAGGCAGGCAGGCAGGCAGGCAGGCAGGCAGGCAGGCAGGCAGGCAGGCAGGCAGGCAGGCAGGCAGGCAGGTAATCAGGCAGGCAGGCAGGCAGGC